TAACTTGAATATAACACCCTGTGTTGAAATTGCTATTGTTGGAGTGCCAGAACATGGAATACCTCTGACTAACAATATGGAACATGTTTTTGCTTTTGCTTCATTATTAGCAAGAAGGAGAATATTGTTGGAATGGAAATCAAAAAATCCACCAAAAACTTCAATGTGGATTTGTGATTTGATATTATATTTAAAATTTCATTATTAGTTATATATATATATATATATATATATATATCAACATATTTTGGTGAACAAATATTTTGTACTGAGAAATTAGAAACAACATGCATTAGGACTGCTGTAATGGAAGTGGACAGAATTGCTCCAAAGTCCAAAGCAAGAAAGAGGAAAAGCAGTAAATATGTGGAAGTAAAAGTCTACCACATCTGTTTCCAATAAGCTCCTGTTCAGTCCCAATTTTCAGAAAGTCAGTGTCTCACTGCCTCTCACAGAGTGAGAGAGAGAGAGATCATAATTACTATCGCTAATAGTGACAAACCAAACTTTAGCAAGTGCCTCTTCGCATGCGTTTATACTAAAGGCGTGAAGAAAGGCCATCTGACTTTAAAATACTTGGTTATGTCATGCTTGCTTATATATCTACACAGAAAGACCATTTGAGTGATCCCCCCTTCTTTTTTTATTTTTATTCTTTTTTTTTTTGTGAACACATTTACTTTTTTTAACAAAATTGACTTTGAAAACTTTAGCAAGTGCCTCTTCGCATGCGTTTATACTAAAGGCGTGAATGATCCTCAAATCGTGGACCATTTTGAGCAGAGGTGAGCTGTTTTAAGCAATTACATATATGATTAATGCATGCTGGATTATAAAAATCCAGAAAATCTAGTATTATAAGGAGAGAGCCGAGCCATATCTAAAGACACAGACATGTGGGAGTGTGCTCTTCTCACTTGGGTCGGCACCTTAGCAACAAAAGTTACAAAATTAACAAAACCAAACCTGTTTCTTTATAATAGACACCACTCCCAAATGCTTACAGCATAATGACTGATATTGTGTCACGTATATTACCTCTGAAAATCCTCTCAGCGGCCACTTGAGGTCCCCCTGTGTATTAAATCCTGGACTACATTTCCTAGAACCCACATACCTGGACTGATTGCACTCAGATCTGTTCTGCGTTTCACAGACAACTTAAGCACTGAGTACGCTAGGCTCAGTGCGAAGTCTTGGGTGAGCATGATTTCACCAAGTACAACATGTACCTGGATCAACATCCTTGTTGATCCTGGACCAACATTTCAATCAACCAATCAGAATTGAGATATAACGTTTCAGGAAATATCTGTTTTAGGCTTACAATCAGGGTTAGGTGCTTCTACACCCTTGTTAATCAGATATCATTTCCCTCTGATTTTAGGAATAAATTATGGGTAGGGTTAGGTTTCGGCGTAGGGATTGGGCTAAATCTATATTTTTGGACAATAATGTTGATCCAAGATCATCAAAAGATGTTGATCCAGGAACATGTCTTACTTGGCAAAATCACGGCGACCGAAGTCTTGTATTGCCATAATCTAGTTTTCTACTGTCTTGCCTGGTCTTGACTCTGTTTGGACTATTGTTATCTTGATTCTTGCTGCCTGCCCGTTTGACTACAGCCTGGTTTGTTTGGATTATTTGTACTGTCTGTTTGCTGCCTGTCCTGATTTCAAGCCTGTTATGACCACAATTACTGTTCTGCCTATGTTGCTGTTGTTACTCTGGATATTACGACCCACGCTGTTTGTACACTGTCTCTGCTATTGTTAAATATACCGCAAATGGATCTTAACCCCAGCTCCTCTGAGTCACTGTCACATATTTTTTGTCTTCAGATGTTTCTTCGATACAATATAGATGAAATTACCACGGACACTTCCAGTCTTCCAAAACTAAAATAAGGCCTAAAGCCTAAAGTATGATATATCGATGCCACTGTAGCTCTTTTGAACCATAAGAAATGAGCTATGTGCTTCTCCGTTCCTGAGAGAGAGAGAGAAGTGTCTGACAGATTTATTGTGGATTGTGATTAGATTGCTGCTGAACTGGATCTTGCTGAGGGCCTATGAAGAGTTTTAGAGCATGTCTTGCTGTACACTATAATAGTAATAATGTAGTTTCTGATGGTTTTGTCCGTGTGTGTGTGTGTGTGTGTGTGTGTGTGTGTGTGTGTGGTCAGCGATCTTAGACAACATGGCCACAGGTTGCCCACAATCGGTTTATGTACTGCTGATGCATCTTGTAAAATGTCAAAAGCACATGCTACAATCAGATTTGTATCTTGATTATTATAGTATAATCAATTTTAGATTAACCCGCCTTTAAGTAAATAATAAAAATACACAGACCTTGGTCAATCACTTGACCTGTCAGTCAGAGACTCATTTCCTGTTTAATAGGGCGGTTCTCAGACAGATAAACAGCAGTCTAAAATCCTGACTCTTAAGAGTCTTGGTCACTGTGTTAGATCACTCAATGAATCTTCATGTGTGTTTTGAAGACTAACCAAAGTCGTATGGGTTTGGAACAACATCAGGATGAGTAAATGATGACAGAATTTTCTTTTCTTTTTTTTTCTATCCCTTTAACTAAACAATTTTAACCAACCCCCCTATCTGTCAAATCCTGCAGTGAAACCGCACTCAACCAAGCATTCTAACCAGGACCTCGCCCCTCCCCACCCCCCAACCATTCAAATTTCTGTAGGCGGGAATTATTTTTAATGATATTCTAATGGGCAATATTCCCGGAAACCAACGCTGTAGTCCAAACGAGCCGTTCATTGTAGTTCTTGAAAAGGGATTTTTTAAAAACAAAATATCTCCCTTTGGAGTGGACTTTGAGATTTGTAACTTTCTAGATCTTTTTTATGCCCAAACATGCACACTACACACTGACTAAAATTTAAAAAAGTGAAAAAGCATAATAGGACCCCTTTAAGCTACTGCAGGATTAAATGAAAAGTTGACTCCAGTCAACAGTTGAAACCAAATTAAGAAAGTGCAGTGCATGAAAGTTCATTTTAAAAATAAAGCTGGATTCTTTGTGTTGTTTTCAGGTGATGTTCTCAGCCTAGGAATGTTAGCTAAGAGCAAAAACAGACACTGTCTGTGTAATAATGGATGTGAATTCTGCCAAAGTGCTAATACATGAATATAGAGGAGATTCTGTCAGACTTTCCACTGACAGCCATAATAAATTCACCCCATCTAGCAGCTGTACCTGTGCTCAGGGCTTTCCTGTGTCTGCTAGAACACTTTACGCTTGAGGAGCAATTCTGAGTTATACTTGCAGAAAACCCTCATGCCATATGGAAACACTACAGGTAGAAAAAGTAGAAACTCAGGACTGTGTGACCTGAAATGGAATGTTTGCTATTCTGCATGTCAATAAATTACAGTACTGTATTTTACAAAGACAACTCAATTTTTATATTCTCTGATGAAAATGTGAGTGGTGTATGCCCACCCCAAACGTCCTGCCATACTGTGGGGATTTGCTAAGGTGTTTTGAGTGTTTTAAGGCTGTGACACACCAAAGAACCTGAGGCAACCAAAGCCAACTGTGGTGTTGCCTCACAATAGTTCCTCGCCTAATATAGTTTGATTAGTTGCAAATAAAAAGATCCTTCTGTGCCTTGTGCTGCTGTCAAGTGCAGCTGGGAAACTGCAGCCTTTTGGAAGTAGCCTAAACAAAACCAAATAATTATATTGTGAACAATAAACCCAAAATGCATCTGAATTCAACAGATGAAAATAATTGAAGCATACACTCTAAAAAATGCTGGGTTATTTCAATCCAATTTTGGGTCAAATATAGACTAACCCAACATTTGGGTTAAAAATTTAATGTAAAAATTTAACCCAACGGTTGGGTTAGTCCATATTTGACCCAAAGTTGGGTTGAAACAACCCAGCATTTTTAGAGTGTATAAAATGCTTCAAAAACAGACAGACTCTTAAAGGTGGGGTATGTATTTTTTCAAAAACGCTTTAGAAAACTGAGTCGGGCCGAGTACCAAAACAAACTTGTAGCCAATCAGCAGTAAGGGGCATGTCTACTCATGATGTGGAGGAGAGAGCGCTCAGTGCACAGGACGGACATTAGCCGAGCCGAGTGACAGATAGATAGAGATGGCGGATAAAATATTTTGATGTGCAATCAATGACACTTACACCCCAAATATACAAATAAGAATGTTAACCTAGGGTTTAGGGATGTACAGTGTGAAACATCATCTTATGAATATCTTGGATTACTCAGTAACTCAGTAACTTGGATTTCCCTGGTAAAGTATGAGCAGTGTGAAGCATGAAAGCAATATAACCCAGTATTCCGTTTATCCTGGGTTTAAAATGACCCAGGGTTAACTAGTTTAAGTGTGAATTCCTCTCTCTGTGTGATTTGAGATATTATTCATTTCTGTACCGCAAATAGTGCTCGAGTTCTGAAGGTTACTCCCTCAGACTGTCTCCTTCCCCCTGTCCTCAGACAGCACACACAGAGCTTTAACAGACACATATATTATTGGAGTTTCTCCTGTATTTGCCTGCTGTGTCGATCTGAGACCGCAAGGAAGTGTCCAAACGCACCTCTTCCTGTCCTCAACACACTCTGAGAGTGTAATGAAACACATATGTTTGCCTGATAAGAATCTTCAAAAGAAAAACTCATCATATAATCTTGCATAATATTTTATATTTCTCTGCTATCAGCTGAGAATGAGGGAGGAAGGCTTGACATTTCAAAAGAAGGGTCACATTTTTGAAAACTCTTAGAAAAACAGGCCATTCGTTGACTACTGCCAGCTGTCTATATGTGCAGCAGACAGCAAGGCAGCTCTCTAGGTTTTGGAACAAGAGCTAGAGTCTAAAATAGATTGTTGTTGGGAGTCTTGAATGAAATTCATTGGCAGACACAGAGTCTGCTTCATTGCACTACTGAGGATCAGTTTCTGGCTGTCTAGGATGGCTATACAGAATCTCTCTCACCTTCCCTTCAAGGCGCGCGGTACCCCCTTGGCTGACGCGGGTATTACATGGCGGGAGGGTAAAAACAGGAGGCTCTTTGCTAGGGGAACCTCGTCCCAGAGTCAGAGTCATCTTGGAGACATGAGATCCCGTAGCAAACTGAACGTCACCCATCATTCTGCAAACACAAGAACAACAGAAGAGTTTTGAGTTCCATGTTCACCTAAGTTGTTGAAATTGTGGCTGATGCAAAAATAAAATGATGTTTTTGATGTTTTTTGAACAGGCACAACAATTCAATGCATTGAATGCAAGTCAATGAATGCAATTAAAATCCATGAACTGATTGTAGTTATTATAGTCAAGTTTAATACTTTTTTTAACATGGATTATGATCCCTCCAATGAGTTTCAGGATTTTCATGAATTTCATATGACCCATCTTAATGTTCACATACAGTATTTAGAATGTCCATGCTTATGATTGAGTCTCTAGAGTGATGTACGTTTCATAATGCACTTACTGTATAGGGATCATAAGATTTTTTAAATTATTTTTTGTCAATGCATGTATTTACTGTCACACACAACCACTGTCTTTTAAAATGTTTCTATGCTTTCTCCTTGCAGCTTAATGTGAAGACTCAATAAGTGATTAATTGATTCATTAATCAATGCTCAATGGAGAAGTGTTTGGAGAAACCCATTTGAACTTCACCTCATAATCCAAGGAAACAGTTTAGCTGAACACAGACCAAGTGATATATTTGACAATATGTTATACTTTAAATGGTGTTCATAAAACTGCATCTACCCTTAAAAGGTCAAAAACTCCTTTACGAGTGAGAATTTAAGCTGATTTATGAGCATAGAGCAAAAAGTTCTGTGCTGAAACCTGTCACATTTGACCTTTGAGTCAAAATGTAACCATATGGCGTCCTAAATCCAGTGGACCAGCACCGTGACAAATTTACATATTTTACACAATCAAGCACAAGCACACTCAAATACAGGCCAAACAGCGAGTGAAAACACAGCCATTTTCTCTTTAAGAGGTCTGCAGATTGTAACACATGGGGCGACCACCTCTCAGGCTGAACACATTAGCCTGTCTTAGTGAGCGGTCAGCACAAGCTGTGCACTCCAGATTTACACAGAAGATGTTTTTACACTTGATTCATTAGGTTAATCAACATAATCAATCGACTACCACCATGAGTGACTAGCATCCGAGTTCTGAAGACTACTTTTGTACCAACCAAAACAAACTGAACTCTGATAACAAACAGACTCACATCAAATGCTCCATTGTGAACACACACTTAATCAGTCATCATGTATTAAAGGGGTCATATGATGTTGCTAAAAAGAACATTATTTGTGTATTTGGTGTAATGAAATGTGTTTATGCGGTTTAAGGTTAAAAAAACACATTATTTTCCACATACTGTACATTATTGTTTCTCCTCTATGCCCCGCCTTTCTGAAACGCGTCAATTTTTACAAAGCTCATCGGTCTGAAAAGCGAGGTGTGCTCTGATTGGCCAGCTATCCAGTGTGTTGTGATTGGCCGGATACCTCAAGCGTGTGACGGAAATGTTACGCCCCTTACCATATTGTGATGATGCCCTGTCCGGCCGGAGCGATGATTCAAAAACATGAAAACCCATTATAAACGAGGCATTTGTTGCATCCAGTGGGGACATAATTACGGATTATAATGACATTTTTAATTTTTAATACTGTCTTTTTACGCGTTGCATCGCGCCACGTAAACATAAAACCATGTCTGCATTTGTGATCGGAGAAATGACAAACAACAAGCACTACTCCACACTGCTCAAAACTCGCGTTTGAATCATCAGTGGCAAATCCTTTAAATATAAAAAAACGTACTTACAGTCTGTGAGTCAGAACAGCCGGCACTGTAGTCTACTCTACCAGGATCAGGAAACAGTCCTCCATAAAATGCGCTGCACACATCTCAATATTTGGGTTGAACTGTTCTGGAACAGTGTTGTAAATACAACTTAACCACTGATTTCTAGTCGTGTCCTCTTTTGGAAGGCCAAACAAAGTAGTTTCGCTTTCACAACGAAACACACAGCGGGCTAGAGTGAGCGGAGGCCGGCTTGCTAGAGAGAGCAGAGGCTGGCTTGAGTGAGCGGTGG